CTGATGTGGAATAAAAAACTTCAGACAAGTTTTAAGACAGCAACAGAACATGGAAAAATAGGCTTAATTCTCTATTACATTATTTTGCTACAACACTACAGAATCAGAATGAGCTTTCAGATGCATATGATTTACTGTGTGTGTTTATAATTTCTACATCCAAAAGGATGCTGCTTCCTAGAGAAAACCTTTAGAGAATATTCAGTGGTTTCACTTTGCCATTGATATTCAAATTTGTGGCAGGTTCTTTTGAATATCTTCAGTGAGGCAAGCTTTCATCCTTTGCAGATGGGTTTCTTCTTTGGAAATAGCAACAAAATATTTAACTCTTATAAATAAGGTAGGTAATCGGGCATGGTAAATAAAGCTTAACCCAGGTTTTATGGTGTACACCTGCAATCTTAGTTGCTCATGAAGCTAACGTGGGAGAATCATGAGTTCCAGCGTGGCCTGGGAACACAGCAAGAACCCATCTCAAAAACATAAACAGATAAATAAGATAGAAAAGCTCAGGGGTTGAGGTGTGGCTAGGTGGTAAAGGACTTACCGAACAAGCCCATAGCTAAGGGGTTCAACTCCCTACCCGTAACTAAACTGAAATAAAGCTTAGATAATTAATAGTCCTATTAAAAATGAGCTAGACATTTTTCCTGAAGAAGATAAACAAATAGCCAATACACACATGAGAAGGTGCTATTAACCACAAGAGACAAACAAATCAAAACCACACTGAAATATTTCACATGTACTATGATAGTTTTAAGACTGGGAACAACATGCAGTGGGGTGAAGATGCGGAGAGATGGGAGCCCTCAAACTCTGCTGGTGGGAGCATGACGTGACGGCTTTGTTGTCCACGGAGTTACCATATGCAGTGGAATTCCCTTCGTAGGCATATGCCCAGAGAAATCCAAACGTGTTCACACAGAAACTTGCACATTAATGTTCAAATAAGCATTACTAATAATAGCTAAATTTCAGAGACAACCAAAATGTTTATCAGTTGAAGGATTAATAAAATATGGTGTACTCATACAATGGATATTCAACAATAAACACAAGTTAGGTACTGACATGTGCATCGTGGGTAGGCCTTAAAGATATTATCGCAGGTGAAAGCCAATCACAGAAGATCATACACTCTAAGATTACATTTACAGGAAATGACAATAGATTAATTCTCTCAAGGAGCAGTTGGAGATCTTGGGAAGAAATGGGGAATGTTAATGGTATGGGGTTTCTTCACTGATGAGACATTTTAAAATTAATTATTGCAATAATTGCAAAATTGTAAATACAGAAAATCATGGAACTGTACACTTTCAATGGGTAAATTGTATGTTATATGAATATATCTCAGTAAAGATGCTAACGATAAGGCTTGTTATAAATTAAAGAGTTTAATTATGTGATTCTGACAGCTATATGTATTCTGGTTTTTTTCTCTGGTACCAGGAACCGAACTCACGACCTTGCGCTTGCCAGGCAGGCACTTTGCCGCTGAGCTAAATCCCCAGCCCCAAGCTATATGTATTCTGTACTTACTGTCACTCTGCCCTGATTGATGTATATATTTTAGCTCTTTTAATTCTTACTCATCTCTACTGGTTGGACAGACATGCTGATCTCCATCTCAGAGATTAGAAAATTAGGACAGAGGCAGATGAAGTAATCTCCCTGAGGTAACAAAGCAATACATGTTAGGGTCAGAATCTAAAATTATAGTCTCTCTGGGGTTAAAATTCAGTCTTTCTTCTTGTTCATTTTCAGAATTTTTATTCTTTTAAATAGTTAATACATCATATTTCACAATACAAAGTGACATGTAGGGTATCCGTCCTCTCTCTATTCACCTTCTTTCCTGCTCCAGGTGCAGCTTGGGTTAGCTTCGTGTACAACATTCTGAATTTCCTTATACAAACAAAGCACACACAGATACACACTGTCATTTTCTCTGTCTTTGGAAAATGTAGCGTACTACACATATTGTTCTGCACTTTGCTCTTTTCAATTCTCAGAGACCCTCTCATATTAGTATGCTCGTTCTTGCGGGTATAGCTTCAGACAACTCCCAGGCCTAAATGTGCCGTCATTAGTGGTTCCCCTAAAGATGGCCATTTAAATTCTTCCCAACAATCTGTATTTAGAAACTACTTCCAAAGGCAGGAAGGAAACTCACAACACATTCAATCATTTTAAAAATAATTCTCTTTCACCCAAAATAGATTACTTTGAATATGATAACCCTCTTTTAAATGTATTGGTTAAAAATTGTTGCATTCCAATGCAATGGATTGAACCTTATGTGCCTTCAAACCCACGGGTTGAAATCCTCCTCCCTGAGGTGATGTTATGAGGAGATGTGGCCTTTGTTAGGGGATTAGGGCATGAGGGTGGCACCTCCAAGAATGGGATCAGTGGCTCTCTTACCTCAGGTCCCCGAGAGTGCCTCCCTGCTTCCCCTGTGTGAGGCCGCTGAAAAAAAGGCCAATGAGAAGACGGCCTGTGACAAAGTGAGCTTACACTGGACACCGAGTCTCCCAGGGCCTTTATCTTGGACTGCCTGCCTCCAGCAGTCAGAGAAAGCAATCCTTCTAGTTCATAATCCACTTAGTTTATGTGTTTGAATACAGCAGCAGAAATGGACTAGTTCAGTGGTGGTAAACCTATGATATATATATATATTTTCTTCCTTGAGTGGGATGGAATTTAAACTCTTATTACAGTAAACTAGACCCAAAATTAATATCCTAAGGTTTTCTTAGCTGTCTTTAGAACTTCAAAAACAATTTGGTTTTCTTTTCTGTCAATTTGGTTTTCTTTGGTTTTCTTTTCTTTTTTCAATTTTTTGAAACTATTACTTTAGCAGGGCTATGGGTTTTCTAAAAGATACCTATCATAAAATGAGTTTGAGCGTTAACATGCAAAAGACAAGCAATAAGAAAGGTAATATGGATGGAGATGAAATATCCAAGAGCTAAACAACGATCCCTTCTACATGGAGTGGGATGAAAGAAGGCAAACTGCATAGCGTTTATAGCTAAAGAAAATGACCAGTGAATTGGGAAGACTGAACTTAGCATTTCCTTCTCAGAACACAGACATATATTTAATTTAATAGACCTGAATACGTACTTTCTCAGGAATGCTCTCATATTTTTGCATCTAGGGCACTGAATGCCATAGAAAACAAATTTTGTAAAGCAAACACTACACAGGTGGATAGCCACGTGCACTCCGTGAGCTAGGGCTCCTTCTATTTACCACCACAGGAGGAAAACAAGAGTGCTGAGGGCTCACACACCGAGCAGAGCCTGGCAGAATGCAGCCGCGGAGGAGCCATACAAACATGTGTGCATTTTCTGATTATAACCATAATGTAGATTTACAGTGGGAGATTTGGAAAACAGAAAAATATAAAGAAAACAATTAGGACCACCCACAGACCTATAACCCCATAAAAACCCGTTATCAAAACAGCAGCACATTCACTTTCAGTCCTTTTTCTACGCACATGTAAGAATACAAAATTTAAATACATACAGGGGTTATACTATCAACAAAAATTTATCCACAGCTTTCCCCTCATTTCCTGAGTACTTTCTCATTTTATACATTCTTCACGGCTATAATTTAATGCCTACAATATGTTGCATCTTATGAATTTAAGCAAAATTATTTGATTCTTTCCATATTGCTGAACCTCTGTGTTATTTCTACTTTTTTCCATTTTACAGATAGCACTGTGATGAACTGTTATATATCTTCTTATCTCTATTTTCTTGTTAAAAAAAAATCTTCCAAGTGGATCAGTATAGAACATTCACATTTAAATCACTCAGAGTACCAGCACCTATAAACTTGCCATTGGAAGTCTCTGGGGATAAAATTCAAATAACATATATCAAATAAACAATACTATTTTCATATCGCTTGCAGTCTATATTTATCCTTCTAGAGCAGTCATCTTTCCGGCAGTACATCATTTCCTCTAGGCAAATGGACTATTACTGGGTTAATCTAAATGCAATAACATGAAACTTGGCTGACCCAGATTTCTCAATAACGGTATGCATGCAATTACAATATTCTGCAGACTGAAAAATACCCAAGGCTCTCAAAAACACATATTTTATCATCCTTTCATTTAAAATGATACACAATGGACAACAAAAGAAAAATACAAAAGTTACAGCCAATGGAGGTTAATAGCAACCAAATCTTGTGTAGATGTATAAGTTATGGTGTGACTTAGGTTTCTTCAAATTTTAGCTTTTTGTCTGTCACTTCCACAGTTGTGAAGATCTTAAGTGCTCTCAACCTATTAAAGTTATTAATGATTTCTATTAAGAGTTATATGGTCTTAACAGTCTACTCTTAAATTCTCTGTATCCTATATTTTTTAAACTATTCTTTTTTCAAGAGGTTAAATAGGGTTCTTACAATCTCTAAACTATATGTGCATATAAATGCATTTAAATAAAGACACATATTTAAAATATATTTTCTACTAGCCAATGAAAAGGCAAAGTAAAACAAAACACAACAAAACATCCACCTCTGTCACAGGATATATTAGCTATAAAACCATGCAAATTCCAAAGCCCTCCCTAAATTATCAGAGAGATAACAATAATCAGTGCTATCCTGTACAGTGGTAGAGACTGCACACAGTACAGCTCCAGAGAGTGTAATCAAACCCTGACATCTGTGACTGGTACTCTCTGAAGGTGTGCAATGCACAGTCTACATAGCTGTATGTGATGACCTTGAAGTTAGCTTGAATACTGTTGCTTGCTTATTTATTACTTACATATTCGTTGGGCTATGAAAAGTTTTGGGAAGGAGATGATCTGTAAATATACATATGTATATATATATATTTTTTTTAATGAAGGAAATTTTGGAAACAACACTCTTCCTGGCTCCCTTTGTCATAATGATGAGGCTTCTTTTTTCCCTCTCCCCTTCCATCTACCCATCAGGAAGCCACAGGATACCTTGTGTGAGTAACTGCAGGTTTCTGACTTCCTCTCGCACCTTCAGCTGGAGCACCTGTTGCAAGATGTGCTGCCGGAGGTTCTCCTGGGCGATCCCCATGCGCTCCAGCTTTTTGTCCGTGAGTCTCAGCAGGGCTCTCCCTACAGGGGTTTAGAGATGCAAGGAAAAGGATATGAATGGTTTGCTGGAGAGAAAGATTTCCATCTTGGTCTTGGTTCAACCTGCATACATAAGGTTCCAACCAAACACTACCTCCTTAGAATAGAAGGTCACCCTTGATCATTGCTGACACAGTGGGTAATTTGAAGAAAATCCCAACTTTTAGCTAATATTAGCAATCCTCATATGACCCACACACTAAAGCAGATAAAATAGCAAGCTTTTGACCTGGATATCAGAGTCACAGATTGTAGGTTTCCATGGAAACTATCTTTTTTATTGGGGGATGGGTTCTCTGGCTGCCCACAGGAGCACAAGTCACCAAAATTCCAGCTGTAGAAACAAATGCTCTAACTGTGGTTATATAGGAACCCCAGCAACTTTAGCCTAGGATACAGTCATGTTTCTGTGAAATTTGTACTTAAAGTTCAGTTTTGATCTGCAGGCTTCCAGGCCTCTGGTTGTACTTCTGGCACTGGGCTAGAGTTACATCTCCAAGTGCGGGGAGCTCTGCCATAATCCCAACCCAGGGCCCTGGGCGACAATCCCAGCAGGGCTGGGGTATAAGAAGAAAGGCAAATGACACCAAAACGTAGAGCCTTGGGATGTGGCAACCTACAGTGTGCACACATTCAGGTCCTGGGATAGCTGGGCCCAACTGGCACAGCTCCTTTCTGACCCCTTCTTTCCTGTGAATGCCTGCATGCTTCTCGTCTAGCATGATATCTAGCAAACCCCAAAGGTCTCCCCGATCCTGTGCTTGCTCCGAAATAAGCAAACTTCAATTGTGAGGCCTTACTACAAGATATGAAGACAACAAGATATGAAGACATTAAATGTTCCCAGCGCCACATTCTATTCTTTCTTCACATCTGCAGTCATCATAGCTGCAGATCTGTTCTTGTTAATCATGACACGTCAGCCTGACTGGATTAAGAAATATCTGGCAGATTAGTAAAGCACATCCTGGGTGTGTCTGGGTGTGTGATACAGACATGACCTTGGATAATCTGGTCCCTGGCTCCTCCTCTCTTGTACTATTCCTGATTTGTTTCCTTGCTGCCATGAATTGAGCACCTTTGCTCCACCATGCCCTTCTGCCATGACGTTTCTGTTTTGGAACCAGGTGACCATGGACTGAGTTCCCTGAAACTGTGAGCTATATTAAAGATGTGAGTGTCGGGTATTGTGTCTCAGTGACAGCAGAGTTGACTAATACAAGATTTATATTCATTTCTATGGATGCAGAAGAGACACAGCCAACTCCACGCAACCAATACTAACACTATGAGTGTCCTATAATATACATTCCAGAAACTAATGTTCTATCACTTTGAAAAAGGAATCTGGGTTGGGGATACAGCTCAGTGGCACAGTGCCTGCCTGGCAAGTGCAAGGTTCTGAGTTTGATGCCCAATACCACAAAAAGAAAAGAAAAAGGAACCTCACAACCAGAATGTAAAGTTAATAGGCTTTTCCATCAAAGGAAGAGGAAAATCTATGTGGCCTATGGTAGAGACAGGTGAATGGAGAAAACCAGTTAGAGGCTATCTGGGCTAGTTTACTCTTCTCATTTCCTTTCCTTTAGCATTTGTAAAGTGCATCAGTCAGGAAGACTTCTGATATATAGTACAGTGACAAAAAACCCCCAAATATCAGTGGCTATGACAAAGTTTGCATCCAGCTTATTCAGCATGATCAGCACTAAGTCTACCCACCTTGAAGTACAGGGAGAGGAGAAGGTGCTAGATCATATCTCATGAATGAAATGCATAGCCTAGTTATTCATTGGCCAAAACTGTTGGGAGTAGCTGAAGCTGGAAACTGGCTATATGTGTGGAGGCAAGACAAGGCCACAGTGCCTAAAGTAGTCAAGCTACCTCAGTCTTGAGAAAAGCATTTGCCTGGACAGTTTCAGTCTTTAGTTGCTTGGCAACCTTGTGTCTCATGATACTAACTTTGCAAGCATATAAATAAACATCCCTACTGTTATTGTTCAGGTCCTCTTACCCACCGGGTAAAGGAGCCTCCACCTGACCCAGCTGTTGTGTCTTGTCTATCTTTCCCTCATTCCTGCCGCTGTTCCTTCCCAGGGTACATCCTATACAAAATTAATCACATAACCTTCACATCTACAAAAGGATCATGCATTATACCTCCAACATGCACCCATAAGTGAGACTGGTGGATGGGGAGACATGCATTTTGGATGGGAAGTACTGCTGATAACTGTATCAACACAGATGAGGTCCCAGACCAGTGCCTGGCAAGGAAGGGAGTTTAGGGATGTGTGCACATTGCTGTTGGTGGCACTTTGATCTGAACGTTTAGTGAGAGGGCCATCTTGAGAAGAATCCAAGCTCAGGTAGTACCTGGTGGCTCATGGTACTTGTGTGAAAGGCAAGAAAGATCAAGTGCAAGCAGTTCCCTCTGCTTTCTAGGGCAGATGCAATAATGCTCTCTAAGATGTCCACAGTCTAATCTCTGGAACCTCTGTATTTGTTGCCATCCAAGACAAAAGGAATTCTGTAAATGTCATTAAGGTTTAAGAAGGGAGATTATCCTGCCTTACCCAGGTAGATCTGTCTAATCTAATCACAGAAAAGAGGGAAACAGGAAAGCCAGAAAGAGAGACAGGAGGTGAGACAATACAAACAGGGGTCAGGAGGAAGTGGCCAGGAGCCAAAGAGTACAGGCCACCTCTACAGAACGGAAGAGATAAGAAAACAGCTTCTTTCTCAAGCCCTTCAGGAATGCAACTCTCCCAACATCATGCTTTTAGCTTCATGGAATGTGAAGCTTCAGACGTTCACAAGTTTAAGATAATATATTTGTGTTATTTTAAGCTTCTAAGTTTGTGATAACTTACTATAGCAGCAATTGACCACGTCAATTTACAGGAATTTCCATGTTTTTAAGAAGTCAGACAGATGGCTTTAGGTTTCCTTTCCTTTCCCAGTTTCTGAGAAGTGGTCACAATCAGAAGCAGAGAGCACAAGATTGCCCAGAAATGGTGAACAGAGTCCCGAGCTTCTGGGGCAGCCTGGCCTCCCACTGTTGTGCCTACTGTCAGAACTTGGCCCTAAAGTCTCACTCAGGAAACTGAGGATGGGGCTCGCTTTTAAAGTATGTGTGTAACTGGCCTCCAAATGACCAAAATCTAGCTCTTTATACATTTCATAAACTTCAGATGGTTTTAATGCCTCCCAGCTCCAACATGTAGCTCACCCTTTGTACTCCTGGTTGCTTCACTTATGGTTTCACAAGCTGTGACATTCCACAGTGAGAGGTCCTGCGGCATGAGATACGACCCACACAGCTCCAGTCTTGAGAAGTTGGCTGCTCCAGGACTACAGTGTCAGTAAGTCAGAGTGATAATTTTTTTCCAGCGCACCCACCCCAGCTGTTCTATTTTGCCCCTGAAAACCTGTAGTCTAAGCCTCCCCACAGATACATTTGATTACATAAACCCTCCTGGAATTTCATTTCTACTTGGGTGGCTTAATTGCGTCAGGTTTGAATATATGCATTATAAAGCTCTTATCAGTTATAAAAGCGTGCTTTATGATTTTGTGATACAATCATGTCTGTGAACTCTTAAAAATTAAATGCTCAGTTGTTCAAATTGATTTATCCAAATTCTGAGAATACAGATGTTATTGCTTTTATTTAAACCATGTCAAAAGGGCAGTTAAGAAACTAAAGAATGTTTGATGCATGAGAGATTTTCCTAATTCTTACTACTATGTTCAGTTCTACTGTAGCTTCCTTCGTAGAAAAACAGAGGGAAAGAAAGAAACACCTAGAGTACAGGGCATAGAAGAATTTCCTGGTGAAGCAATACCTAGAAAAAAGATGCTGCACATGGAAGATCTTAGCAGCAAAATCTGATTCACTGTCTTCTTTGGTGATTTCCACAGTGTCAACCAGATCGGGTGGTTCTGAAAATTTTGTTTAATTTAGTAATTACATCACTCCCAAGAGCAAAAGTCCCACCAATCTCCTGTCTTACCCTTCCTGAAAAGAAAAGAATGTCTCATCAGTGTGGCGCTACTTTTGGGAAAGAGATAAGGGAAGAGATATGTAGTCAGTCACCAACTACATCTCCTTTTTTCAATTTATAGTGTTAATTTCTGTTGTTTTCCATAAAACTTAACTTTTGGTTCACCAACACTAATTGAGCCTACTGTGTCCCTGTCACCTGTGTGAACTGAAGAACAAAGCAGACAGTCACTCTTGAAGCTTTCAGACTGACAAGGAAGGTGGCTAAGGACAAATGTCCACAAGTGCACGACAAATGCTATCAAAGGGCTAATATGTGTTGTAGTCACCTCCTCAGACAGGGATCCAGGAATAGAAAACAGCACCTACTGTGTTTCTTGATTTCCCAAACTCATTACAAATGGGAAGGAGGTGACCTAGGGTGTCACTGGGTTGGGAGAGGCTTGACATTCGCACATGGGTTTACTCCATTCCTTTTTCTCCTGCTATCAAATATTTATGGGGTACCACTATAAGCCTGCCACTATTCTGTGTGCTGAGCATTTGGGGATGAGTGGTGTCTTCAGTCTTCATGGACCTCACCATGTAGCATGAGGAAGGTGAGGTGCAAACAGACCAAGAGCTGTGCTCGATGTAGAAACAGCAACATAATGCAGGTGTTGGGAAGTTCTCTGAAGACAAGCCAGAGGGGAAGGGGGCAAAGGGAGCGGTGTTAGAAGGATGGGCGCCATTGTAGCTTCGGTGGTTAGGAAAGGCCTCTCTGACGTGGGGGTGCTGGAGCCAGAGAGAACGATGAGGAATATAAGTGCCAAGACAACTAGCGGAATGTCTAGAGTCACTGTGGCAAAGTGCACAAGACAGGAGAAGGCAGGGCTAGAATCCTACGGGCTTCATAGTCTTGGATGGATGCATTTTATTCTCAATGTAGATAGTCTAAGCATGGGGACTTGGGTATTAAAAGAATCCCCATGGTCAGAGG